GAAGGAAGGAAGGAAGGAAGGAAGGAAGGAAGGAAGGAAGGAAGGAAAAGAAAGACTGCCTCACATTAAAAAAGATCAATTTAGAAAAGTCTAAGTTCACAATACTAAAGCAATCTATACAAGATCTATTCCTCCCTCCTCGACCTAACTGCAATACCTTCTCTAGAGCACTATAAAAACCATAACTATGATGATTAATGATCCAGAGACACAATTCTACATTAGCTCCTATTCTACAATAAAAGTTCAGTAGCTGCCAGTGAGTGATAAATTCTAAGGAAGAAAAAGCCACTCTTGGGAAACTTTTCCCTTTACCTGGGCATATCGTAAGAGTTTTTCAGTAGCCTCAGGGTCTTTGTTCCAGATGAGGTCTTCACAGAGCTGAAGAAGGTCCTTTTGGATATCATCATACACGGGTAGATTGCCTGCATTGACTATCCCCATGTCCATACCAAACTAAGGGCAATAGAAAGGAAAATGAGAAATTCTACTGATACCCTAAATGAGGGATCAGAGAAAATACTTTATGACATAGTTGGTCACTATTCAACTCTGCTGAGGTATAAAAGCAGCCCTAAACAAAACACATGGGAAGGGATGAGAGCACTCTGTTCCACTGAAGCTTCATTTAAAGACAGAAGTAGGCTAGTTAACCTGTCTGTAACTCAGTCTGTAAGCCTGCTAAAAGGTAAAGTACAGTGCCATCATTTTTGTTTTAATTCTTTGAAAAATCATTGTGTTTACAATATATGTGCATATAGATATAGATATATCTGTGGGTACACATGTACCATGGCACATGTACAGAGGTCAGAGGACAACTCTGGGTATTGGTTCCTGCCTTTCATTTTGCTTCAGTTTACTACTGGACATGCTAGGCTAGCTGGCTCTACAATCTTCCATGGATCTGTCTTCATCTCTCATTCTACAGTAGGAACTACTACTACACTAAGTCACACAGGCTGTGAAATTTCAACTCAAGTCCTCAGGCTAGTACAGCCAATACTGTACCACAGAGCCATCTTCCCAGTACCTAAGTTAAAGTTGGTTTCACCATACCTTGATCGCATGGTAAAGGAAAACACCATGCATTGCTTCTCGAATGGCTTCCATCCCTCGGAAGGAGAAGGACAAGTTAGAAAGACCTCCACTTATTCTGACTCCTGGTAATGTTTCCTGGCAAAAATGTAAAAGCATGAAAAGATTCTCTTATTTTGTCAAAAGTCACAATAAGTCATACCTTGTAAGTTTTGTATACAGGAGAAGTAAAAAGAAAGTCCAAAGTAACTCTGAGTTTGTTACTAAGCAAAGAACAGTTTGCTACATCACTGTATCAAGTACTCTGTCTCCTCTTTTATTATGCAAATCTATCACCTTTTACAGTGTCACTTCTAAGCACTGCTTCATAAGTAGCTTTTCCTACTAGACTTTAACCTTTGCAGGAAAAATATAAATTCCTATTTTATCTCTGACTACCTCTATAATGATATAGATGATTTTCATGGTGAGGCATGAAAATGAGAGTCACATGAAATGTTTGCTGGATAAATGACTGGGGGGTGGGGGTGGAGACAGAAAGCAAAAGATTATGTGCATACATCTATAAATGCACATTTGCAGACATTCCTGACCCATTTGAAGCTGCTAGACTTCAATAACTTAAATGAACAAGCTCTCTAGTTCATCACAAACTGGACAAAATATAGAAGAAGGCTGAGATACCTATGACAATATCAATCATGAGTCATAACAACAGTAACTCTTAGTACAGGCCTAAGTATACAGGGGCATAGCTTGTCACTGTCTAGCCATTCCAGCCCTATGCTACAGAGAAACTCAAGCACATCTGCCAAACATGTTAGACTGGTGCAAAAGTAATGGTAGGTTGCATTGTTAAAATTTGTTCCTTAATGTTGAAATACATTCTTGATAAATTCAGTTATGTTAAATGCCATTTTAATATGCAATCCTGCCTTATGAATTTTTTGCTAATGATTTATTACTTGCTTTTTTAAAAATATTTTATACTATGCATGTCTGCAGCTGGTACTGGTCTAAAGAAAGAGTTCAGTTCTTCTCCATGGCATTATCTGACCACACATCGCACAACCAATGCTTCAAAAGTCAAGAACTGGGTTACGAAGTTTCTGTCTTATCCACCATATCCACTCACCAACAGAATGCTATTTCTTCAAACATCTTGATAACCTTTTGCAGGGAAAAAACTTCTACAAGCAACAGGACAGAGAAAATTCTTTCCAAGAGTTACTGAATCCTGAAACACTGGATTTTTTAAAAGGTGTTTGCTGCATTTATTTATCTGGAGTAATGTGCGTGTGAAGACGTCAACACAACTGCAGGAGTCAGTTCTCACCTTCCATATTGTGTAGGACCTAGGGACTGAACTCAAGATCACCAGCTTGACTGACACCAAAGGCCTCCACCTGCTGAACCATCTTCCCAGCCTATAAAACTGATTTTTTTTATGCTAGGAGAATTAAAAAATTTATTCTCATTGGTAAAAGCAGGTTGACTAGAATGGATCCTACTTTGATAACTGAAGGTATGCTTGAGCCTAATTGTAATTTAAACTTCATGATCTGAAACTGCAATTAATTTTGCACCAACCTAATATAAGAATGTTCACAACTGTTAGACAGTAGAATGGCTAGTTGTGACTCAGGCTAATAATTATACACTAATAAAAATGAACAAATATAGCTATAGCAACACAAATAAAATTTCAAATAAGGCTGATGTGGATGTGGTGGCACTGGAGAGGTGATTAGGCAGGAGGCTAATAAGTTTAAACCAGCCTAAGCTACACAATGAGAACCAGTCCGGGGAGGGAAAAAAAGAGGCTGAATAGGGAGAAACAGCATAAGCAATTTATGATTTGAATTACACTAAGCTCAAAAAGAGGCTAATTCATACTATGTGGACATACAGTGAATTCTCGTGATTCCCTAATAGTTCTGTCCTCACAAGTAACACAGCAGCTGACAACCTCTGGTCATATGCTTATAACCTCATCAACATACAGCTTTGTTTTGCATGTCTGTTAAAAACATCCTGTGTGCTAGAGATTCCAGAACAGATAAGAGCGCAAATTGTTCTTATAAACAAACAACGCACCCATATTGGCTCACAACAACCTCTAACTCCAGCTCCAGGGAATCTTATACTCTTTGGCTTCCTTGGGCACTTGAATAATGTAAAAAAACTCAACCAGGCACACACACACACACATACACACGCACATACACACGCACACACACACACACACACGAATAAATACTGAAAGACACTTTACTTGGTGTGCACATCTTAATTATTAACACTGAATTCACGGTCTGAATAAGGTTTATACAACAAGCATTTTCTCCATTAGGCACAGCACAAGTGTCCTGCACTTGTGAACACTAGAAAGCACTAGCACCAGGACTGAAGGGCACTTTCAGAGAAATCACAAACAAAAGGGAGAACATAAAAGGGCACTGAACAGAACTAATAAGACACCTGTCATGTGCAGAGTAAGAGCTGTCTGTCTCCAAGGTCATCCTCATCTGAGGACGCAAGTCAAGTCTACACAAGGGCATGTCCACGGCTGACTACAAAAGCAGCTCGAGTATTGAAGCAGGCCAAAACTAAATTTTGTATATTTGTGTATACCAACAAGCACAAAAAAAATTAATGGATATAGTGTAAACTAAAATTGCATGTAAGTTATAAAATTATTAGCAAAAACAATAATGAAGTCTCAGAGCCATAGATATCAGAATGAAAGTTATTTCATGAAATTGAAAATAAGGCATACCCAGAAAAGGAGAGACATGGGGCAACAGCCTCAGAACACTGCAGCAAAGTGAAAGTTACTATACAGTTCATAACTAATCATAGTCATCTACCATAGACTACAGATCCTAGGTGATATATTCTCATATGTGCTACATAATACAACTAAAATAGCATTATATAAAAGATAAAAGTCCCTACATTTTAGAAAACAATTTACTACAGATTGAAATGTTATTATTCTCAGCAAATCAGTATGTGTTAGTTCTAAGCATGCACTAAACCAAGGTGATAAATTTGAACTGTGTCTTGGATAAAGACAGAAAATACCCACTTACTTTAATGATTCTTGTTGCATGGATAAAATTGATAGCATACAAGTTATGTTCTTCCATTCCAGTACCAATGGTAAGAATGTTGGGGTCAAAGATAATGTCATTTGGATTGAAGTCCAGTTTTTCCACAAGTAGATGGTAGGCTCGGGTGCAGATACTGATTTTAACATCTGTTTCTGTTGCCTAGGAAACAAGCAGAAATGTCATTTACAATAGAAAAGCAAATTGTTATCTATGGAAACAGCATATGTCACTTATCAAAACCACTCAAATCTTAATGACTGTATTTCTTTGAAACCCAAATGTCAAACCTCTAAACATTCATCAACTTATCTCAGAAAAGAATCAGTTAAAGATTTTGCTTTTAATATAACAATGTTACTCCTTATATAGAAATTTCATGAATGAAATGTTAACGAAGTGGCTCTAAAAAGGTAGCTGTGGTTTAAAAGTCAAATTCCACCAAAGACAACTAAACGAGCAGCTGAGCACACCTGTCATTCTAGCACTCGGGAGGGTGAGGCAGAACTGTGACATGTAGGGGCCACCCTGAGTTACATGCGTGAGTGCCAAGTCATTGTGGGCTAATACTGGGAAAGAGTTCCTCAAAGAATCCCGCTTCTCCTGACCTGCCTGCAATGTGTCAACCACTCACACAAACAACACTGATGTTCTTTCTTGGGTCTTCCTTCAAAGTAGATTCAAGCACATGCATTTATTTCCCACACACACCTACCATAGCACAAGCTTGGTACCACATGCACAAGTTGGAACTACAAATTAGTGCTTGGCATGATGGCACACACTTTCATTTCAGCACCTGGAAAGCAGAGACAAGTGGATCTCTGAAGTCAGGGTCAGTCTGACCTATATAGTGAGTTCTAGGCCAGCCAGGACTACATAATGAGACCCTACTTATTACAAAAATAAAAACTAGAAAAATGAATTAACACTCAAGAGCACTTCCCAAGATACCCAAATTTGGCCCCTGACACCATCAAGAAGGTTCACCACTTGAATTCCGGAAGACTAGAATTCTAGTCTAGTCTAGAAGTTCTTTCTTTTGGTCTGTAGACACTGCTTACACATGGTGTACATGCATACATGCAGCCAACAATCATACACAGAAAATAAAGTCTTTTTTTAAAAAACCTACAAATTATCATCATTCTCCTAAGCAGGATCCTAAAAAGCAAAACCCATTTTGGCAAGGTCCATACTCCCTGATCCTCAGCCCAGCACATTCAGCCGGGACCTCTACCTCCACCACTGCCCTACCATTTGCCCTCACTCCTCACTCCTCCTTTGATGTTCCCAAAACCTGCCATGCTGTTGTTACCTCAGAGTCTGTCCATTTCCATCTATTGCTGCCTGGCCCAGAACACACAAGGCCTAACTACTTCACGGCTCACAGGTATGGCAGTCAGCAGTCCCCTCAGAGTCTGCCTTAATCACTCCCTCCATATGAGCACACCTCCTCCTTTCCTTGAAGTTATCTCTTTCCAGATACCTTATTATTCTTGGATGTTTTACTATTATTATCTCTACTAGCTGGAATGTCAGTCTCACTCACCCCAGAGCAGGGCCTGTTAGAAGATGTGGTCAATACCATGCTGAGGAGATGAAGGAGTGAGTAAATGAACGCTATTTTACAATGTTTCTCAGTTTTGTCAAGGAAATTGATTTCAGATCAAACCTCCAAACAGCAGACCCATCAAATTACATTCCGCATTTCTGGTTATTGCTAATCCAACATGCTCTGAAGAAGGGCAGAAGAAAAAACAGTAGTCCTTTCTTACCCACACTTTCATGTTTCATGGTACTAGTTATCCACTGCTATCTGCAGTCCAAAATAGTATGTGGAAGACTCCACAACTTAACAATTCCTAAATTTCTAATTTCACGCACTCTGAAAAGTGTGCACTTGGGGTCTTCATATCTCTGTCTCTGAAGGTGTTCTGGGGACATCTCTTCCTGACATAAGAAATTTACAAATCATCTTGTAATGAAAGGCCAAGAATAGAAGCAATCATGTCATCTTACCCAGGGGTAGTTATCGATTGAAGCCACTAAAAAAGAGGGACCTAGAAGCAGAAGTTGACCTCAGGTTTAAGGAACTTTCAGAGAAGGTCAGAACAAGAAGTCTGAGGTCAGGTTGCCTTCTTCAAGGTAAAAGCCAATTGAAAACACGAACCTCCAGACTTCAGTCCCCCAAAGACAGAATTCATTTTAATAAACCTATACCACTCACAAAAATTCAAGATACTTAACTAGAAAACAGTATCAGTTATCCAAGGTCAATGATGATGTTGGGTACAGAATTAAAACAAACGGCAAAAACCATAGCAACAGCTATGTAGTCAGTCTACTAAGTAGCCATCCGAGGTCCTGCAAGAAGACTCTGAGAAATTCAAATGACAGGACTGGGTGCTTACTTAGCATGTCCAAGACCGCAGAATTGATTCCCAACAAGAAGGAGAGAGGAAAAAGAGGAGGGGGAAACGCAAGTGGCATTCCATCTGATGTCTGGACTGATACTGGAGACACTAGCAGAGTCGGAAAGTGGAAATGATGCTCCAGAAGTAAGAGAGCTCACAGAGTAGATAAGGAGAAGCAATCACTGCATACGGCACAGCTTAGCTTACACACTGTTCAGTAGCACATGTGCTGAAAATTAAAGCGAATTACCCTGGGAGATGAGGACAAAGGTAAAGAAGGTGTGTGGACCAGGATGGAGGATGGTAGGAAAAACAACTGACTTACGAGCTGTGCCCACTGGGTATACAAACTAAGGTCCAATATAAATTAATAAATATAAACCATCTTTCATTGGTACTCTTCTGGAATTATTTCAATTGTTCTCAAGACAAAAACATATCTTGTATAAAAACAATTTGATCAAAACAATTTTATTTCAAAACACAAAAATATAGATAGTATCACTTATGGTCAATATGACCCATGGCAGATTATCCTACCCTAGCTGACACTTACCAACTTTTTCCTGTTTATGCAGACTCATAAATATTCACATGAATGCTTCCTGAATAAAATTTAAATCATGTCAATTACTTCTTCACATGGCTCCATCATCACATTCTTTTATAACACCGCAAGTGGTATATAGCAAGATTTAAGCATTCTTCAAGTAATGGACGGCTGTGTCAATTTCTGATTACCACCATACTACAATGGAAGTGAGCATGTAGCCTTACATATACAACCTATCTTAAGATCTTGAGGAGAGGCTTCATTATAAGCACTGTTATTTTTTCGGCTTATTGATTAATTACTGATTAACTATCCCACTGACACTTTATCATGTACAACTGAAAGCTTGCTATATGACCTATAAAGAGCAGAACTGCAAAACCACGGCTTATGTATCACCCAGGGAACTACCATGGTATTTACAGCTCCCATGGCCTCAACATGGCTCTGCAGCACAGGTGTGAGAAGGCATTTACCAATCTTCTCATTGTTTTTGCTTGATGAAAGAAACTAATTACTGCTTCACTATTCCCTTAAGCATTAGAAACCGTGGTATCTTCTCACAGGCTCATTGTCTATTTGTACTCCTATGTACATTGCCCATCCAATTCCTCTGCCCATTCTATTAGGGACATTCTGTTCTCTGACACATACAAACTACAATAACTGCCACATAAAATTTTACATTTCTATGTGAACAGACTCATCAATTTTCTTTTTCACATCATGAGATTAGCAACAGCTTCTACATGAAAATATTAATGATCTATATATTGTGCAGAATTTTTTTACATTTCAACCTTTAATTTTTTAATTTTATTTAGTATATAGTAGGATATGGAGCTAGTGCTGAGTGGTAGGACTTTTAAGATGTGACTAGCAGCGCTGGAAAGATGGTTCAGTAGTTAAGAACACTTGCTGTTCTTACAGAGGACCTAAGCTTGGTTCCCAGCGTTCATATGATGGCTCACAACCATCCAAAACTCTAGATCCAGGGGATCAACATCCTCTGACAACCGTGAGCACCAGGAATGTACATGATGCAGACATAACACTCATACAACATAAAATAAAATTAATTTAAAAGTAGGAGAAGTGACTAGGTTTGAGGGCCCTTCCTTCTTAGATATTTAATGTTGTCATCAAAGGAATGGGCTCACTGGCGAAAAGTAGATTATGAAAGCAAGTTCCACCCTCTCTTGCTCTTTCTCACCTTTTCTCTGCCCCTTCATGAAGGGGCAAAGCAGCCAAAACACTCTCAATTTTTTAGCCTCCATAACAGTGAGCCATGTTAATTTATAGTATTTAAAAATTACCAAGTTTGTGGTTGTGGTGGTTTAAATGAGAATAGCCTCCAAAGAATCGTATATTTGAATCCTTGGTCCCAGTTGGAGGAACTGTTTGGGAAAGATCAGGAGGCATGGCCTTCTTGAAGGAGGTGTGTCACTGGGTGTGGGCCTTCAAAAGGGAGGCCTAACTGCTGCCAGACTCCTTACCACGAAAGACAAGGACTCTAATCCTTTGCAATCATGAGCCCAAACTAAATAATTTTTAAGTTGCTTTGATCATGGTATTTTGCCATAACAATAGAAAAGTAACTAAGATAGTGGTATTCTATTTTAGCAACACAAAATGAATTAAGTTAGGTCTCTATTTTTTTTCTTCTAAATGCAAAACCAGCCGTCTTTCCCAGCAACCCAGGGAATTCAACCTTTCCCTACTGATATAAAGACTGTACAACATATCAAATTTTCAGAAGTATATTATGAATGTATATGTAAATTTGTGTGCACAGATAAGCATATACATGTTTGTGTGTGTGTGTGTGTGTATGTGTGTGTGTGTGTGTGTATGTGTGTGTGTGTGTATGTGTGTACACACACATAGCTATTTCAGACATGGGTTTCTCCCATTGCTTTCTCACCTGGATGGCACCAGTGCCAGGTCAACAGAAATCACTTACCTGTCCTTCCTCATCAAAAGCCATAACCACAACAGCAGCTCCAAATTTCTTTATCTTCCTGGCCTTCTCCAAGAAGTCCTGCTCCCCCTCCTTAAGACTGATGCTATTGACTATGCACTTCCCTTGACAGCACTTCAACCCAGCTTCAATCACAGCAAAATTGGAAGAGTCGATGCACAGTGGCACCTAAGACAGAAGGACAGGAGGATTACAGGTCACATGACACCTTACGTCCCTTTTAAGTGGTTCCAAAAAACAAACAAAAAAAAAAACCCTCTACTACTTCTTTATTTAAATAAATTTGGAGTATTAAAAATAGAACTTTAATATACTTACTTAAGCTTAAAGTTCAAATATTTAGAGTAAGATCAGCTCACAAGAGAATATGTACATGGACCAGGATTTATAACTCAAAAGCAGGGAATTCAAGAGAGTAGTTCATGGGCTTAGGCCAAAATTTACACTCCCAAGCACTTAAACCCTAAGGCAGATAACTTCTCTAGTATTCAAGCATTCTAACATATTAAGGTTGAACCTCTTTGGAAAGATCCCTCTAGCCAAGGTATTCAAATTAAATCTTCTCTTTATAAAAACAAACCACTGACCAGAAAAAAAAAATTATGAGAAAGAAAAAACAGATTTAATCCCCTTCCCCTCCAAATAGTAATTAATTGCTAATCACTAAAACAAACAACTAAAATGAACGCATGAGAGACCATGGTCTAATTCAGCCTCTGCTCTAAGACAGGTGAAAGGAATGGTTCACTCTAAAGAAATAAATATATCAGGATAGCTGATTGAGGACTATCATTTAGGGCAGTCAGTCAGTAACTGACTCCCTTTAAGGCAAACAGGTCCTTGGTTTCACCATGTTTACCAAGATAAATGTTTAAACAAGTAAGGATGGAAGTACAAAAAAGGTTAAAACACAGGACAACAAAAAGAACAAGGAGGCTAGAGGTGCGTCTATCTCAGCAACAGAGAGTTTAACACGTGTGAGGCCCTAGTTTTGTTTCCCAATACCATAAACACACACAGCAAAAATTATTGCTTTAAAAGGGGAGTTGGGGAGGGAGGTTAGAAGGAGCACTGTTGGTAGAACACCTGCAGAGGTCCTCAGTTCATAAACTGCTGACACACGCCTACTCCTAGCACTTGGAAGATGGAGGCAGGAGAATATGAGGTTCAAAGCTATCCTCAACTGCATAGTGATTTCCAGGCCAGTGTAGGATATAAGACACCATTTAAATACAAGTACTCTTCCAATTTTGCTTTCCTCAGCATACTAGTAATAAAGAGGTTTACCCCAAAAAAGAGTCAAATGCAATGGAAGTGTACCAGGCCAGTGTCTGAAAGAGCTCACAAATAGTTTGGTGGTCCAACTCTACTGGTAAAAATGTACTACTCATACGTTGGGTCTTTAAAGTCAGGGTCTTGGAGTCTCACTATGTAGCCCAGGTCTCTAACTGTGATCTTCTGCCTTTGCCTCTCTTTGCCTCTCTGCCTAGCAGCACATTTTTATATTCTATTCCAACGACTGAAATTTGTACTCCAGTAAATTTGGTTTAGTTTTCTGTTTGTTTGTTTTTGTTTTTCCAGATGAGGTTTCTCTGTGTACTGTCCTGAAACTCACTTTGTAGACCAGGCTGGCCTCGAACTCACAGAGATCAGCCCATCTCTGCCTCCTGAGTGCTGGAATTGAAGACATGTGCCACCATACCCGATGTTCAGTAAATTTAATAGTAGATTAAAAGCAGGGAAGAAAGGTCATTCATTGCAGCAGTCAGAACACTGAGTAACAAGTCCTTGAAGTGCATAAGGTCCTTCACAGTTAACAAGAGACTCGCACCATTACAACTGATGAACTGAGCATAGCAAGTTTGAGCACCTCACCTTAGAGATGGGGAAGGGTGTGCTTGGCTCTAAGGAGACCCAGACTTCTTCCCCCAGCAATGATTCTGACTGATGCTGAACAGACCAGAGCAGCTCTGAACCTGAGGGTCTCAAAAGATATACTCACAGAAAACTGGAAGGGTTTTTACTAAGTGTGAGTACACAGATGGATGATGGTAAATGTAATTTGATGCTTACCACAGTAAGTTCTTACTAAAGCCTAATTTAAAAACCAAAACAAAAAAAAATGACAGTTCAACCTAAAGATCTGCAACTCTGGGAACAGTTTCTTTAAAGCAAAACCCCACAGAGGTCCTTCCAGCATGGTGGTCCACACCAGGGTGGATGAAGCTGGAGTTCAAGGTCAATCTTGGTTATGTAATGAGTGTAAAGCCAACCATGGCTACTACACTAGACAAACAAACAACAACAAGAAAAAAGGTTTAGCTTGAACCCTCTCAAACATTCTAAAGGACTGATACAAAAAGCCTTTCACCTTTCTTTAACCTTTTTTTTCTTTTACAGCAGAGGCAGAGGTAGGCAGATCTTTGTAAGTTTCATGTCAGCCAAACTACACAGTAAGACCCTGTTTCAGAAACAAACATGCAATGCAAACTTTTATTACTATTTCTAAATGTGTCTGTGTCTGTCTGAGTGTCTGTCCACATAAATGCAGGAGCCTGTGGAGGCCAGAGGAGTTGGACCCCCCTGAAGCTGGTGTTAATAGGCAATTGTGAGCTGTCAGAAGTAAGTACAAGAAACTAAACCCGGGTCCTCCACAGGAATAATACACGCTTTGAATTACTGAGTCATCTCTCCAACCCCTAAATTTTACCTTTCGAAGAACAAGTATAAACACAGACAGGATACCTTGATTTAACCCTGTTAGACATCACTGCCTTAATCTGATACACCTAACAAGGTCTCTTCTAACAGTACGGAAGCCCTAACTGAACTACATTTTCCAGGGTAGGAACAGAATTGGTGTGGAAGCAACAACTAAGTGCATCCCTCTGAAATACAACAGTCAACTCTCAGACTGCAGACAATGGACAAAATTCAGTTTTCTTAAAGCCTACTTCTCCAAGACACCTTGTCAACAGTCAAGCACAATCACTCTAAAATCTGCTTCAGGTGGAACAGAGCTTAAAAAGAAAGCTCAGAATCAGAAATAATGGTACTTTCAAAGGAGGAAAATGGAAACCGTTCCTGAGTGGGCAGATAGACAAGGCTAAATGAATGAATGGCAGCAACCAGGTAAACCCCTTGATGATTATAAACCTTGTACAACCTTGGCGATGTCAGGTTCAGAGGCAATAAAGTTGCAAAATCTGGTCATTGCACTGGGACCATCCAGCATGCCATCATCCATATTGATATCGAGCACCTGAGCTCCCATTTCCACCTGTACTTTGGCAATGCTCAGGGCTTCCTAGAAAAGGAATGGGAGAAGCACTGTTAGGAGACAATGACTAGGAAAAGCATTTCCTCCCACACTCAGAAGTCCTTTGTTACTGAAATAGATGGCCCTGTCCCCTACTCCCCAACACTCACCATAGACTACTAGATCTTTCCTCACATCATTTTACTGCTTGGAGTCCGCCAAAGCAGATTCCTACTCATGAGCCTCTAAGCTGACGATACCTTCTCACCTAAATGCCTTTCTTGGTTGGCCCTCACTGAACACTTTACTCAGCTAAGTATCACCTCTGTGCCACAGATCACACAGTATCATTGCTAGCAATGTAATCACCTTCCCCTCCACACTGGTTCAAACCTTGCTCAAGTCTAGATCCTTCAAGAAAGGTCATTAGACAACCATCCAAACTCATTTAATCCTTCAATATTTCCCCACATAAGTAGAGATTTTTGTAAAGATTTACTTTTATTATACAGTATAAATGTGTCTCTGTATGAATATATGCCATATGTATAAAGGTGCCCATTGAAGCCAGCAGAGTGTAAGAGCCCCTGGAACAGGAATACGGAGGAAGAGAGGGGCCAACATACTCTTAGTTGCTAAGCCATCTCTCCAGGCCCTCAGTGACCTTGTCTAACTAACATAACACAGGCACTTGTTTGAATCTTTATTATAGCTTTGTAGCCCAATATATGAGCAAAGGTAAAATCAATAACAGATGCTGCTGTTAGTCTGATTTTTCTTTGCGCCCGCCCCCCAAACTCCACAGAAGGAATTTTGTCATTTACTGTGATAAAACAGGCAGAAGCCATTGGGCATACGCCAGAGGAACAAATCTACATAAAGAAAAAGGATAGTAAGGATAACTAAGAGCTGAACTACACTCGCAGCCCAAAGGCTCACAAAAAGTAAAATTAAAAATGGCTTTTAGGCTGAGCATTGCAGTGTACACCTTTAATTCTAGCACTGGGGAGGCAGAGGTATGTCTCTGAGTTTGAGATCAACCAGGGATACACAGTAAGATTCTGTCTAAAAATAGAATTTCGAGAGCTTAGGCTGCAGACGAGTGGTAGTGCTTACCTAGCACACTCAAGGCCCTAGGTTCAGGAGTGAGAGAGAAAGACAGAGAATAGGAGAGCAGGGAAGCAGAGCTGGGGCTCAGTGGATACAGTACTTGCTTAGTAAGCATGAGATTCTGGGTTCTGCCTCCAGCACAGGGGAAAAGGGGATGGTTTTAGTATCAGGGATGATTTAAATAAATAGTATAAGGAATAAAAAAGTGTATCGCAATCCCTGTCCTTGAAGGGCTTATATCTAGTTAGAGGCACACAATACTGTCACACTGAAAAAGAACACAAGGAAGCACTGACACCAGAGTGGGGATCAAATACCACAAATATCGGAATCAGAGATGAAAGCTGACCAACTTTAACAAAGGTGTTGTATCCTGAGAGGCAAAGTCTTCATCCCACCAATGGAGGATTAAATTGAAGGAAGCAAAGAGGAGACAAGTTATCAACAGAGGTTCCAAAGACCTGGGAAATGCAGATGCCAATATCTGACCTATTTCATCAGTCATAGAACAAGTGCTTGAAGACAGAGTGCTCCCAAACTAACTCAGGATCATGGCATCATTCCTTCAAGAGTAAGATATCAGATCTAACATTGTTCTATCAGTGCCCTCCCCTTCAAACCACAGGGACCTGAAATTCACTCAAATTCATAGAAACCTAGATTCTATGAAGGACCCATCCGCCCATTCTGCACTCCCCAGTCCCATTTCAACTGTATCTCCCTACAGGTTCCCCGAGGCAGAGACCACAAGACAGTTAAGTACATGGGTTTCAAGACTTCCTTTTACCAATTCTATGTAAAAAGAGACTAATAATTTTAACCTCCCCAAATCTCCATTGCCACATCTGTAGAATGGTGAAAAGAAGCAGTTTGACTTCATGGAACTGTGCAAGTTTAGTGACGATACAATGTGCTTAGCACAGTGACTGGGCACAAAAGAAAACCTTAGTATTATGTCTACCTGTGTACTTCCTCCTAAAGCAATCTTTGCCCTCATTAAGAAGGCCATCAAAGCTAAAACAGATAGCCAGAGTATAGACAGAAGAAGAAGAAAAAAAAACTGTATTTTCTCTGCCAACTGAAAAACACCATCTGACTATTAAGGGTCACAACAAGCACTTCAGAAGGTGCAAGCAAGAGCCAAGGCATGATGGCACAGAACCTTCCAGAATGCTCAGAGGGCAAATCAAGATGGTAAGCATAGCACAGGTGGCAAGGACAGAATGACAGTCTCAAGAAGTTGAACAGCATCCTGCTCGCTATTCACAAAACGTACTTTCAAATCTGGAGGACAAGCATGAGAAAAGTAAATGGCAGCACTAACAACAATAGGACGAAAGGAAAGCGCAGCAGGCAACCAACGCCTGCACTAAAAGACAACGGAGATGCAGGGAAACAGTGGTTAGCGATTCCAAAAGGAAGATACATAAATGGGTTGTTTCTGCATGGCTAAAAACTAAATCTAAGTTGGGTATAGTGACCCATGCCTTTAATCCCGACACTTGGGAGGTAGAGGCAGGCTGATCACTGTGAGCTCAAGGCCAGCCTGGTCTACATATTGAGTTCCAGGGTAGGCAGAGCTACATAGTAAGACCCTGTCTTGAGGAGTGAGGCACCTAAATCTATAGGCTAGAGAGATGGCCCAAAAGGTAAGGACACATAATGCACAACCATGAGGCTGAGTTCTGATCTCAGCGCACATCTAACAAGTTAGGTTTCCCACAGAATGCGTCTTAACTCCAGCTCTAAGGGATTCAGTGCTCTTTTCTAAACTCCACATACACACACACACACACACACACACACACACACACGTAAATAAACTCACAATACACATACAAATAAAATAAGCATATTTAAAAATCCCTTAAATCTACAGAGACAGCTGAACCAGGCTTGTGGGAACTCAAGAACTCTTGACCAACAGCTGTGGAGCCTGCATGGGACTGAACTAGGCCCTCTGTATATGGGAGAGAGTTATGTAGCCTGATTTATCTAAGGGCCCCTAGCAGTGGCACCAGGATGTATGACCTTTGTGGAGCCCATTCTCTATGGTGGGATGCTGTGCTCAGTCTTGATGCAGGCGGGAAGGACTTGGTCCTGCCTCAACTTATGTGCCAGGTTTTGTTAACTCCCCATGGGAGCCCTTACCCTTTGGGAGGGGTGGGAGGGAGAACTGTAGTTAGAATGTAAAATGAAATTTAAAAAAAACTTAAATCTATTCAGATCCTGAAACAAAAAAACAAAACAAAACAAAACCAAAAAACACAAAAACTCAAAGGACAATGAGATGGCTGGCTCATCTGGTTAGGTGCTTGATACCAAACCTGACATGAGTCTCAGTCCCAAGAAACAAATGTGGAAGGAGAGAATAAACTCTTAAAAGCTGTCCCTTAACCTCCACATTCATGCAATGCTTTGCACATGAATGTTCACATATGTGTATAAACACACACAAGCATACTCACATACACAGAGACAGAATAATTTTTTAAAAAATTTTAAGACAAGCTCTTACTATGTAGACCATGCCAGCCTGAGTTCATAGAAATCTTCCTGCCTCCGCATTTCATGTATTCGGATTAAAGACATGAACCCAGGCCTTCTCTGTGTAGCCCTAGCTGTCCTGAAACTCGCTTTATAGATCAGGCTGGACTCGAACTCAAAGGGTTCCAACTGCCTCTGCCTATCCAGTGCTGGAACTAAAGGTGTGTACCACCACCGCCAGACAAAAAAGAAAAAAAGAAATTAACTCACACAAGAAGAAAAAAAATCCAAAACCTCAAATCAATTTCTTCCATTTCTATTTCATACTTGTAGAAAAGTAAAACCTATCCAGATATCTTAGGCATGTTCTGCATGGATTAAATCTGACTCATCTACAGCATTACACAGCTAAAAATGCAAGGACCTTTGATTTTGTTCTGACCTATAGCTAACAGACTAACAATATCTTCCACAGCAAGCATCTGATGTGGTCAGAGGAGTAAGAATTCTCTTTGGGAGGAGCAGAGATGACTCTGTAATTAAAAATACTTCTTATTGCCAGGTAACAGTGGCACACACCATTAATCCCAGCACTTGAGAGGCAGAGGCAGACGGATCTCTGTGAGTTAGAGGCCAGCCTGGCATAAAGAGTGAATTCCAGAACAGTCGGGGTGGCACAGAGAAACCGTCTTGAAAATAAATCAATAAATACTTGTTGCTCTTGCAGAGGACCTGGTTCAGTTCCCAGCATCCACATGGAATTTCACAACCATCTGTAACTCCATCTCAGAGGGATCCAATGTCCTCTGGTCTCCTGGGTTCCAAGCACATACGTGGTACACATACATTCATGTATGTTTTCCCCATCCAGAGAAAGGTTTTTGAGAGGCCAAAATGGAGAGTATTCCCAAATATCCAAACTTACTGCACAATGAATGACTAGAAGCTGGATCCCTCCCAGTCATCTCACCCCATGCCCCAAATGCAATGCTTTCTGATTAGTAACAACAGCAGCTTCAAATCTTCAAAGCGTCCTCGCCCCCGCAGCCCCACCTACCGCCAGCTGCCATCAGCACCCTCACATACATCCTAGCAGCTCTGTAACAGCACCAGACAGAACAAACACACTCTGCTGACATGCAGTCTACTCAGAGGCAGGGCAATGCCCTGGGGGCCTCGTGAAGATGCTCACGTCATAGTTTCCTGCCATGATGAGTTTAGCAAACTTCTTGGATCCTGCCACGTTACAGCGCTCTCCAATGTTAACAAAGTTGGTGTATGGTCCAATCCTGAAGGGCTCGAGACCTTAAAAGGAAAAGCATTTTGAAACGTTCTTGAAAAATGCACATGGATGACATGAAACAAAGTATTTTCAGCAAGAATGTCAAGTCCATCTGAGCAGATAGGACAGGAGATGACAGGGAAACAGGATCACAATCTTTTCTTTTTTGAACATTGAAAGGCCACTTGTTGCAACCCTGCTTACAACCAGATCTCCCAAGAAGAAATATATCAGAGCTCTGTGCTGTAAATACCCAGAGAGGGCTGAACCACACAGTCTCTGAAAAGAAAAAGTCACCATCATTCTTATTTAACTAAGGCTCTGGGGCAAAAGTCATGAAGAAAACTTCAAAAGAAGACTGAGCTTGAGTAGGCCTTGTGCATGCTGTTCTAAATGCTGTGAGTCATGTTCAACTACTGTTATGTCTGGAAAATCCTGCCTCTTGATGCTACCCACAACTTTTGACAGTTATAAACTCTATGTCCCACTTTCCCCTGAAAATCCCTGAGCCTAAGAAGGGCATGTTATGTCCCATTCAGAACTAGATGGAGGAAGTAGACACAAGATCCCACCATGAGCTGAGACATTATTGGCATCTGATAGCTGCTGGGAGACAGGGAAACAAGGAGATAAGGAAGGAAAGGGAAATAGAATGTGTGTCATTTTCTTTTCAAAACTCATGTGTAGCCAGGCAATGGTGGCATACACCTTTAATCCAAGCACTTGGGAGGCAGAGGCATGCAAATTTCTGTGAGTTTGAGGCCAACCTGGTCTACAGAGTAAGTTCCAGGACTGCACAGAGATACCCTGTCTCAAAAAAGAAACTAAAATTAGAAGAGTAAATGATGGAGGAGGGTTATCTGTCTATTGTGTTATTTTCATTGGTTAATAAAGAGACTGCCTTGGCCCTTTGATAGGACAGAAAATTAGGTTGGCGGAGTAAACAGAACAGAATGCTGGGAAGAGGGCTGTGAGGTAGACGCCATGAAACCAGCCACCAGGTCAAACATGCTGAATACTTCCCGGTAAGCCACCACCTTGTGGTGCTACACAGATCATTAGAAATGGGTTAATCAAGATGTGAGAGTTAGCCAATAACAAACTCTCTAGAGATAATGGGCCAGACAGTGCTTAAATGAATACAATTTCTGTGTTGTTATTTCCGGGACTAAGCTAGCCATGCGGGAGCTGGGCAGGATGAAAAGCAGGCCTGCCCGCAGCTCCTTACTACATATGGCGCCCAACGTGGGACGTCAGATGAAGCTGCAGGGCGATTGGTAAAGAAAAGTCCCCAGACTATCTTGATACAAAATATACAGCTTTAATAAACAGAAGTAAGACTTACAACAGCTTACACCAGAATCCAACCCATCAGTCCGGACGCAGGAGCCAAGCGAAAAGAGAGCTAGCAGAGCGCTCTTACTAGGTTTATGGGCAGGCTTTTGCCTGAGGGCGGCACGCCCCGAAAACCGAATATGATTGGCTGAACTCCCCTATCAAGTAAAAACTACATGGGCAACACCAACTAGGCTTGGAAGGTTGTAGAGTGCGGTGGTTTGAATGTAACTGGCCCCTATAAACTCATTGGGAGTGGAACTATTAGGAGGTGTGGCTTTGTTAGAGTAAGTGTGGCCTTGTTGGAGGAAGTGTGTTACTGTGGAGGCAGTCTTTGTGGTCTCCTATGTTCAACATATGCTGATTGTCTCAGTTCACTTCTGTTGCCTGTGGATCAAGATACAGAATACTCAGCTCCTTCTCCAGCACCATGTCTGCCTATACACTGCCATGTCTCACCATGATGATAATGGAGTAAATCTCTGAATTATAAGCCACCCAATCAAATTTTTTCCTTTATGAGAGTTGCCATGGTCATGGTTTCTCTTCACTGCATTTGAAACCCTAACTAAGACAAGGATAAAACTAAAAACTGGGTAGGGAGGGATAGCAGAATAAAAAGTGTAGTTACTGGAAGAGCTGGGATATGTGTAAATCTGCTAAAAATAAATAAATAAATAAATTGTATGAAATTCTCAAAAAATAAAAAATATTTTAAGAACAATAACAACAACAACAACAAAAAGGATTGCTGGCCAGGTAGTGGCAGTGCACACCTTTAATTTAAGCACTTGGGAGGCAGGAGCAGGTTATTAGTTCAAGGTCAGCCTGGTCTATAAAGCAAGTTCTCGGACAGCCAGAGTTACACAGAGAAACCCATCTTAGGGGAAAAAAGATTGTTGAATCAGGCATGGTGATTCATAGCTATAATCCCAGCACTCTGTAACTTGTAGGACTTTGAGGTCAACGTTTATATTATGCTGCAAAATTCTACCTCAAAAGAATTCTTTTTCTTTTTTTGCTCCATTGCTGTTCTATCAGAAAACTTGCAGCTGCATGGAACAAATCTCTTCACCCCATCATCAGAGTATTTGGAAGGTCTCATCAACATTGCATGTAGAAGGTCCCATTAACATTGCATGTGGGAGGACCTCATCAACAAAGTATATGGAAAGTCCCATCAACAGTGAACATGGAATGTAGAAGTTCCCATCAACATTATATGTGGAAGGTCCCAACAACAGAGCATGTGGAAGGTCACAGGAACCCTGCATGTGGAAGGCCACAACAACAGCATATGTGGAAGACCCAGTCAACAGTGACTATGGAAGAGCACTCCATCTCTTTCACGGAAAGACCATGAACCTGAAGCTAACACTGCCAAATTGGATGGTGAGGGAGGACCCAGATGGAGATCCACGAATCACTGTTGTTGGTCTTCCGCCATGAGGCACCCAAGGCAGACCATTGGGCTTTGGCATATTAATGCCTTATTTACTAAGGAGTAGCACCATCTTCCCTGGCACACGCTAATAAGAGGCAAGTCTCAAATAACACATGTAGATGTATTATACTCAGACAAAAAGCAAAAGATTGTGAAATGACTGTAGAAAAGGTTGTCAAACTGCCTTTGTTTTTAAAGTATTATAGAAAGCAGTCTCCCTGAATAGTCACAGGCAGGTTCTAGAGACGAAGGCCTTGGGTTCATCACATAATCACATAATCTTTCAGCTTACAAATCAGCAATAGTCTCTGCCTTAATTATCATAAAAATGAATTACACAAAATTATCATCAGCTAATAGAGCTTCATAAAAAAAAAATGGCCTTTGAGTCCTTTGCCAAAGCATTACATGAGGAACCTAGTATGAGAAAGAGGAAGATTATAATGGCCTAGGTAATTATACAGATATTCCAGGCCATTAGTTCACAGACTCAGGAAGCAATAACTTTCTACATTGTCAGTTTCTGAGTTTCTGACTTTTCTCATTGCTAATGATCCTTGTGCCCCCTGAACTTTCACACAATCTGGAGGTTGTGTATTAGGTAAATAGGAATGACAACTACTAAATGCTGAGGGTGTGATCTAATGGCATTCTACAAAGCGGTTCTGATCTAGCAGGAGTGACTCATCAGATACAGAAGCAATGCTTCTCTTATTTATACACAGGTTAACAAAGTATTTTTCAGATTGGACATGGTAGCACGCACATGTAATTCTAGCACTCAGAAAGAGGAAACACGAGGACTGTTAGTTTGAGACAGCCTTTGGCTATACAGTGAGACCTGTCTTTATACACTAACATTTCAGAAAATAAAATTAAATTAAAAAAATCCAGGCATGATGATGCACGCCTATAAGCCCAATAGTCAAGAGGCAGAGACAGGTGGATCTATGAGGCCAGCCTGGTCTATAAAATGAGTTTCAGGACTACCAGAGCTGCATAGAGAGACCAAAAATAAAAAAAGTCCCAAACAAATGGCAAATACAAAATTCTAACAATATTTGTTACATTGCCATTACAAAACACCAGGCCTTAACCATTTGGAATTTTCAACTGAGTATTAAAGTTTAGGCACTGACGAGGCTATGCTGTCTCTGTGCAGCAAAGACAAGCCCACAGACTCACTGTAAACAAGGGAGTACATCAGCAAGTCACCTGCTCTTCATTCCTTTTTACCCTGGAATTAATCTCTCTACCCATCCTAGAAAAACAAAGTTCTTTAGTAAAATTTACCTAAGTGCCAAGGAAAACAACCACCCTTCTTTGACCTAGTAAGTTTCCTGGCATAAATAATCACTTAGATATATATACATTAAATAGATCCTATAAATGTTTTTTTAAAAAACTACATTTTCATGACTTACCAGATAGTAACATATGTCCTTCAAAAACACTAGCTGGTGGAACTCTAGGCTTACAATTTTTCACAGCTTCAGCGATTTCCCTAAGTTAAAAGAGAAAACACTGTATTCATTAATTCAGAGTAACATGTATTTAATTAAGATAATTTCCAGCTATGAAATTAAGCCTGTATCAATACACCCATGCGCATAATGATATGCCTACTTAAATGTACAGCAGCAGTTACATCCTTCACTTCCTCAGCAAGAGAAAGGTGGGCAGTGCTGCCTGTGCTGCTTCTACCATCACAGACACGAGCTGGAGCTGCTGTGTGACTCTGCACAAACACAATCTGCAAACCAAAACCCTACCCCCCATCCCACACACAAAACACGTCCCCGCTACCTAACCAACAGTTTAGCAACTTCAAAGAGAAGTTGGAGCTCTGAGAAATAACAGTAAATGTGCGCTTGGGGAGTTTGCTGGGTTGCTGGCAATGGAGAGAGGTCAGTCCTGTGCACACAACAAGGAAGGAACAGAGAAACAGAGTTTGGACTCTAAAACATTACTCCTCAAAATGTGTTTCAGTTATCCACAGTCTCTTTAACATTAATTTCTGTTTGATAAACCACAGAAATCTAGCTTTCTCTATTTACTTATAAGGCCCTATAGGCACTGCTCACTCTACTGTCCCCAAATTAGTATGTGGATGACTAAGTAAAAGCAGGAGTTATACAGATAGGTATAGATATCAACTACAAATACACAAGTTACAACAACCTCTTTTTAAAGAGGAAGTGAACCAAAAAAATGAAGAGTCAGTCTGTGATCCAAAAATAAGATACTTCAACTACTGATGAAGATATAACATAAAGGATATACAAAAAATAGGGATGTAGTATACTGCTCTAGAGTAGATGCTGAGTATATACAAACCTTGGGTTCAATTAATAGCACCAAAAAGGTAAATATATAATAACTTTATAGTTATTTAGAGTATATCATAGAAGCCAGGTGTGGAGGTACACATCTTTAAGCCCAGCACTCAAAAGGCAGAAGCAGGCAGACTTCTGTGAGTTCCAGGCCAGCCTAGTCTACACAGGAAGTTCCAGCCAAGACTTCTGTCAGAAAAGTCAAGAAAAGTAGTTTAACAACAACAAAAAAAAAGTATTGGGTAACTCAGCTAAAGAAATATATTATGTGCACATACATGGAACAGTAAGGGCTGGCTAAAAGCACAATCACTTTTGACTCTAGGGAAAATGGCTAAGAGTCCTAAACTACATTCTGACGGAATCCTAATCTTTCTGAGAGCCACAAATGATAAGAATAAACATATCCATAACCAGCACTGTCATTTTTCACTCCTTCCTTCACACTGGCCCTTGAAAGCATAAGTAAGCAATGATGCACAGGACCAAGGAGGATATTCCTCTAGACCTCAAGATGCTAGGTACCTGACTACTGTCTCTGTAGGAGAGAATCTAATGGAGGCATGTGCTGCACCTAAGAACACCTAGTTGTCCTTCTGTGAGCGAATTATCTACATGGAAATATCCGGGTAGAGTCTTATATGGAGTTTACAATATTCCAGGGAAAGAAGTTGAGTGTCAGACAAAATAACAATGGCAAAATTGAAAATTATAGTATCTCTGAGATAGGTACATGACAGCTCACTGTAATTTTTCTGTACTACTTCAATTTTTAGAATGTTTCTTTATATAAAGCTACTTTTGCTTGTATTTTTCATAATATGAAGCAGTATCACTGCCATAGTAACGAGGCGTACACAAAGAAACTGACTCTCACATCTGATAGACAGTCTGTGACTGAGGTGCTGATGATGCTTCTTCTAAGGTCTCTCTCTCCCTGCGGCCTGCAGACTGCTGATGTCTTGTGTCTTTACACGACCTTCTTTCACCTGTTCACTTGTATCTCGTTCTTGCACGAACACTAACCGTGCAGGATTATGGGCAGATCCACTTGTTCCTTCAACTATCTCCACACACAGTCACATTTCAAGTACCAAGGGTTAGGACTTCAACATACAAACTTGTGGGCAGAACAATTGAGCTGATAAGCACAGGAAATATTAGGTTGGACAAAGTGACTCACAGCTGCATTCTCAATCCTCAGGAAGCTGAGACACGTGGTGCCAAGAGTTTAAGGCCAGCTTGGGCTATACAACAGGGTCTGTGCCAGTCAGGGCTACACAATGAGACCTTGTCTTGAGAAGAGAAGAGAACAGAAGAGGGCAAACATGGCTATCAAAATGCCTCAAATGCCAGCACCCACAAAATTGGGTAGTTCACAAATACCTGCAACTCCAGCTCCAAGAAATCCAATATCCATTCTAACCTTTGTAGGCACCTGAAAACACGCACATACATAGACACACACATACACACACACACACACACACACACACACACAAATAAAAGGCCAGACATGATGGTATATGCTATAATCCCAGATTTGGGAAGCTAAGTCAAGAAGATTATCACAGGTTCAAGGCCAGCCTGAGCTACCTACACGTATCAAGTACCAGGCCAGTGTGAGCTACAAAGAAAGACAGACCCTGCTTCAAAGGCATATAAAGAGGAGAACTAGGGAGTAAATATGATCAAAATAATTATGTACATGTATAAAATTCTCCAAAAAATAATAAAAATATCATTAAAAATTATCAACAAATAAAACCAAACAAATTTTAAAGCAGGATAAAAGAGGTAGCCATTACCTGATATGATCGGGTGTTGAACCACAGCAGCCACCAACTATATTCACCAAGCCATCCATAGCAAAGTCCTGTACTTAGGGAAAGTGAATTCATCTGAATTCTAAATTTATCAAATCAGCATAAGAGCATTTACTTTCTATATTTCCTGAATAACTGAGATGATACTAAAGAGAGATAAACACATTTACTTGTACTTTAAATTAAAAACTGTCACATGCCCTACGTAAAAGATACACATAAGACATAGTACAGATTGAAACCTTTTATGTTGTCTGAAAAACAGAAGAATTTTATTTGCCTTTCTGATGAAAAGAAACTGGTTTTTACCCATATGACCACAATGAATATGAAATTGAATAACACATTTTCAAATGACATATGAGTATCAGTTTTTCAATTTAATTTAAATTTTTTTAAATAAACTGAATGCCCTCTGTCACATTAGCCATGTTTCAAGCATTTCATCAAACACACAGGTAAGGCGCCATCCTGATGAGCAGGGTCTGGAATAACCAGAGTTGAGTGAGTAAAAAGAGATAAATAAAGAAGCTGAGAAAGCAGAGCACCAAGACTATCTACTTAAGATTATTGAAATTATAATCTCAGTACTCAGGAGACTGAGCAAGAGAATCATGAGCTCAAAAGCAGTCTGGGCTGTAGCAAAACCCTCAAAGGAAACGAACAAAAAAGATAGTGAAATTATATGAACTGACTCAGAAACAGTCTAAGAGAAAGTATCAGTGAGTCAAGACCTGGAAATTCAAAAACTGAAGGGAAACAGAGGCATCATGACATGAGTGCACTAAGCAACAGCAGCAGTGACACAGACTCGTGATTCAAAGATGGCAAGTACATTCAAGAAAGGGAGCCACATGGACATCTAATTCACCCAGCCCGCAGTCTGAATGAAGGAGAGGAGCAGCCATTATTTGATAGTGTTGAAGAAGGGACAATATAGCAAGCCATGTCTCATTCAGTTTGGAGACAACTTCACTAGGAATTTTCCAATAGCTACCACTGCCAACCACTAAGTAAGCAGACAGTTAAGTCTGCCTTATGCTTCTGCTACTTTCTCAGAGTACCTAGACTTTATTTGGTTACGTATACACTATATTTTGGAAGAAAACTATGTTAAATCTATATACCATCTTCCATCATGCATTTTGGCACATACCTCTATAACCCCAACTATTCAAGAGGTTGAGGCAGAAGGATAACAAGTTTAAGAGCACCTTAGGCAAGAGAGACTGGATCTCAAAGTTAATTGATTAATTAATTAATTAAAATAACACTGTATCTATATTTTCAAAACTGAAATGAATGGATCCCTGACCTTTAAGTGATTGGCCATCATGGATGGTGTTTCATCATAGTCACCGAAAGTATTGGGAAGACCTGAGAAAGGACATTTCAACCATTATTCAAAAGTATCTTAACAAATATCTAGGTGTTTTAAAATTTATACAATTCTCTATTGACACTCAAATTATAACTGCTTACAAAATGAATAATAATACAGTATTTACAGAACAGACAGCATAACAATAAGAACAAAATTTGAAGAACATTCACTTTTCTTTTACATGTTCACTCCCATTTGGAACAGAGTGCTCCAGCCTCCACCTCCGAGCCCCTTACTGTAAGATAAACTCATTCGTCTTACAGAACTGCTTGTGTGGAAGACACCCTGTACACAATCCCACAGCCTTTGAACTAATGAATATCTGACACGCAATGCAACCAAAAATAAGAAATACCAGCCTTCTTTAAATTAGTTAAATACTTCTACTGTATTTCAGATAACATAAAAGGTTTCATAGTATCTGAACTACTTCCCATGTGTATCTTTTACCTAGAGTTTGTGACATTTTTGTTTCTAAAGTAAATGTTTATCTCTCTTTAGTATAACCTGATACCTTATCCCTTGATTATCTAGTTTCCTACTGGATTCATGCCCTGCCCCTAATTACCAAAGGAAAATAAAATAAATTATGCATTTATGTATATGTGTATTTTGCTTAAATTTATGTGGCCTGGTGCCCACGGGGGTCAGAAGAGGGTGTCAGAGTCCCTGGAACTGGAGTGATGGATGGCTGTGAACCAACATGTGGGGGCTGGATATTAAACCCAGGTCCTTGGCAAGAACAAGTGTTTTCAACCACTGAACCATCTGTTCAGACCATTTTTATGCATTTTTAAATGTATACACTTGAGGCTGGTGAGTTGTTTCAGCAAATAAAAGCATCTGCTGCCCAAGCCTGACACCCTGAGTTCAAGTCTCAAAACCCACAGTGGAAAGAATCAATTCCTAAAAGTTATCCTTTGACCTCCATATGCACACCATGACACACATGTAATTGCACCCACATATATAGATCATTTACACACATACTAATAAAATTATTAACTATTTTAATGTATACATTAATTTAATGTATATATTGGATAAGAATATGCAGAAAATAACTTTTAGTCCTAATTAGCTGAATAGTACACAAAGTATCCCCTGGGAAACTTGGCCAGTCCCGATCACATTATCAACATTTCCTGGGTAGTTTGAGATCTACATATGTCTGAAATTTTTAGGTGCCATCAACTAGAAATCTTAGTTTTTAAAATTTAACTACCAACAATGCTTTTCTGCTAACAAATGAAATGGGGAAAGGATCCCTCTTGCTATATTCACACAGCAAAACCCTTATTAGTGACAAAGCTAGACTAATTTCCTGAAGATACACCCTAATTGAAACTGTTCTGCTGAGCAAAACTGTTCTTCCAGGCTTAAGGGGAAGCACTAGTATAAAGCCAAATACCCAGTGTTTTGTTTTGTTTTTGGCAAAATTCATTTTGAGTCTTAAAAGCACAAACACACACTTAAGCCTTCCTCCCTCCCTCTCTCTCTCTTTCTCCCTCCACTATATGTATACACACACACCTACAACATAAATTCTCCAAATTAAGAAGTTATCCCAATTACCATGACTTGAATATATCGAATTCTTCGCATGCAACGCCCCCTTATAAACACACCTGCATTTGGGTAGCAGAGGACATAGGCTGTTGTACATTTTCCAATTGTTTCAATGAAAGGCCTCATTTCAGCTGCACCCAGAGCACAATTTAATCCAATGCTAAAAAAACAGCAAGCAGATTTCAGAATCATCATCTTTCATTCAAAATATTTATGCATAAAATTTATAATAAAGAGATGAATATGTATAGAAATCCAGGATTTTTGGTGAATAAAACTATTCCATATGATCTTAAAACAGTAGCTATGTGTCACTGCATATTTGCAAAGATCCACAGAATGTACAAAAGAGAGCTCTAACGTAGATTAGTACTCAGTTAATAATGTAATAATACCCTACCATACCAAGGCAAGATATTAACAGGGAAAACTGGTAAAGTGTGGGCAGGGAGGGAGTACAGAAAATTCTGCTTTCTGCTTGTTCTTGTTGTTGTTGTTGTTGTGTACCTGATCTAAAGCAAACACGATTCTCTGACCAATAATTTTCAACCGATCCTCACATCTCCCTTAAGACTGCTAAATTCAGGTCCAGGCATGATGGTAGATGTCTGTAATCCCAGCACTCGGGAGGCAGAAGCAGGAGGCCTCCACAATGCCACAGCAAGTGTGAGACCAGTCTGAGCTTCAGGAGATGCTGACTCAAAAATAAACACATAAAAAGGGGACTGCAAGGTCCCATGCATGGTTAACTTACAACTGAACAGACCTTCCCAGTTTAGACATTTTACCAGTACATTTGGTAACTTTCACCGTAGGTCAATAGGGTGTTAGGGGTAAGAATGGCCCTCAGAGGAGCACATATTTCAGCTGGTGAAACTGGGAAAGTATAGGAGGTCTGGCCTCATTTGAAGAGGAATGTCACAGGAGGAAGACTTCAAGGTTCTTAAGACTTTCATCATTCTCTGCCTAGTGGTTTGGTCTCAAGATGGAAGCTATCAGCTACTTCTCCAGTACCATGCCTGTCTGCTGCCATGATCTCTACTATGATGGTCAGGAACTCTAATAGTCTGAAACTGTAAGCCCTAAATTAAATGCTTTCTTTTATAAATTGTCTTGGTCATGGTGTTTTATCACAGCAAGAAAAAAGTAACCAAGACAGCTACTGTCATATGGATTCAGCATATTGAAAATAACACTGTAAATCATTGTGTTATCAACTAGTAAGGTTGTTTGAATGTTTTCCAAACTTAGTTCCAATGCTAATTTTCTTTTTCACGGTTGACATTACCCAGTCAATCAGTCTTCAACTACAAGTACCTAGAGATAAGAAGCAAGTAATGCCCACTCAATTCTTAGGACTCTAATAAAGCTCAAATGAAATATCACATATGGACATTCCTTATCAACTATCCAGTTCTCATAATGACATTAAGTCACTCTGACACATCCATGTATCCTGCCTATCTACTTAGCAAACTCTGGCTCAAGTCAACATAGTTCAGATGTTACCATGTCTGAAGGGCCATCTCTGAATCCTACAAGGACCTACCACTACATATAGCCAGATTTCCTTCACTGTTTCTGTACAGCACCATCTGTTTCACCACTTGTATTTGGGGAGAGGGAATAGAAGGGAGGCATGTACATCTGTAAGTTAGAGGACAGTTTGCAGGTGTGGGTTCTCGCCTACCATGTGGGTCCTGGTGATCAAATCAGGTCACCAAGCTTAGCAGCACCTTTACCTGGTGAGTCACGTTTTACGTTCTCATTTAGTGAAGTGTTTCTCTTTAATGTGGACTACTTCACTTGACCAGTACTCCAGGACACATAGCTGTATTTCAATGAATGATAAATAAATAATACAGGATTCTACTGCTCTTTGTTAACAAAGAGTCTGTGATAATAGTCAATCATTAAATAACAGTTTCTGATGTTAACTCTTTCAATGACTGCTAACTTCTATATACCCCTCCATTCTTAAAAGATAAAAACCTGACCTTTAACATCCCTACTTTATTTTACTCCAGACTGCTTCTGCTTGGTCCACAAATTGAGAAGGACACTGCCATAACACTTGCAATCACTGTTCTGAAAATGTCAACTGAGCGTTAATAGCCTAAAGTCCAGCCAAGCACAGTCTCAAATTATAAGCAGACTCACAGGCAAACCCTTGACTGCCTAGAAGGTAAGAGAACTCTCCTGATATCAATGTGACCTATTTACTACAGAAGCCTTGAAGCCCTTAAAGTCTCAGAGACTAGAGGAAATCCAGTGCACCATGGCAATGATACAGTAGAAACACAGAAGCAAGGCCTCTCTGAGGTCATTTTATGCACCCCCAGTAAAAGTGCCCCAAATGAAAGAGTCACTCACCACAGTGGGTCTGAATGAGACACGCTGATGACAAATGCCTCTCCTGTCTGGCCAGAAAGAGTCCTTCCACTTTTATCAACAATAGTCCCAGAAATCTGCATTAACAATGTAAACAGATCAACAATACAGACCCTGGTAAAGAATATGGTCACAAAGACAAAGTGAAACAAGCCAGTGGAGTTCTTCATTCTTTCATGAGGAAGAGGAATGACAGAATGGATATAATCAACTAACTGGAGAAGAAGAACAAAGGCAAGAAAACCCCAAACAGCCTTATAAGTCACATGCCCACACCCATTCCTCTACAAGCCCTAATAAGACAGTTGTCAAGGCTTTGACCTCTCTTCAACAGCCTAGCCTCCATTGGACATTTGTAGGTTAGTTTTTGTTATCTCTCCAGAGGTATGTAGCTATTGATAGGAGGGAGGTGAACAGAAGGGTAGTTTCTGAAAGATATTCTACTATTCCAGGGAGAAAAAAAAACCTATACAAAAGCCCTAAATGCAAAGGAATTTTTTTAAGAGGGAGAGGGGTTGTCAGGTACATATTTAAGAACTTACAAAGATAGGTCGGGGAGGAGCATAATTCTCTTCAAAGAGTTTCTGGAGTGCAAACAAGGCTGCCTATCAAAAAAAAAAAAAAAAAAGAAAGAAAGAAAGAAAAAGAAGAATACGTTATTTCTGTGAAATGTCCAAGGTCAACTAACTGCCTGATCACAACAACCCTTCCCAAGACCTCTTCAGGCAGGTAATGCCCTAAGCTGCTCTATATACCTAACATCCCTTCTCAAGTGTAACACTGTACATGCTAACCAATGCTCAGGTAAGGGAACCTCAAG